AAGTAAAAGAAAAATTCTTTCATTATTATACAATCCCTCCCTCCAAGTCCACTCCACTATGCAGTGTTCATTCTGGACTCCCCTCATTACAATAACACCTAATCACATAATCCCTTTTAAACAGGTTTTTCCTCTCTTCTGTTTCAATGTAGTATACATTATTTATCCCATCTTCTTCAGTCTTCCCCCAACCCTGATGTCATAGAATTACAGGGCTAGAAAGAGTAATTCATGATCTGCAACAATGAATGACTGGAAATCCTAAGTCTCTGTAAATTTTCATTAAAAGGAATTAAAAAAATGCTTAAAAACTTGAAAAAAAGCAAAAGAAAAAGAAAGATTAATTCATGATTTAATTCTTTTTTTCCCTTTTAAAAACTTTGATTATTTTTAATGAAAATTTGCAGAGACTTTGGATTTCCATTCAGTCATTGTTGCACTTTTCTCAATGCCCACCCCTTCCCCCAGGACACTCTTCTTTTTGAAGAGTAAAAGATAAATTCTTTCATTGTTTCACAATCCCTCCCCCCAGGTCCACCTCTCTATGCAGCCTTTGTTCTGTACTCCTGTCATTATAATAATGACTAATCACATATTCCTTTTAAACAGTTTTCTCCCTCATCTGTTTCAATGCTGTAAACACTATTTATCCCATCTTTCTCAGTCTCCCCCTAACCCCGATGTCAGTCTTGTTTTACAACAGTTGCACTATGCAGTATTTGTCCTTTTGTGACTGAGATATTTTACTCAGCATAACGTCCTCCAGGGTCAACCATTTTGAATAATATTGAATGATTTTTTTCAATGCAGCGTAGTACTCCATTGTGTGAATATACCACAGTTTCTGTATCCATTCATTTGCTTATGGGCACTTAGGTTGTTTCCAACTCTTTGCTATTGTGAACAAAGCTGCGATAAACATGGGTGTGCATATATCTGCTTGGGTGTCAGTTATGGTCTCTTTGGAATATATTCCCAGTGGTGGAATTGCTGGGTCAAATGGTATCTCTATTTGCAACTTTTTGAGAAAGC